GTCATATTGGATAATTACATAGCAACAAAACAGCCATTTAGGTAAATTAAGTTTCATTTTGAAGGGCTGTCTTTTAGTGGTAAATATTAAGATAAGACCATCTGCATCGATTTGCTTCTAAATTCCGCCACTGAAATATCCGTTGACATCTGTCAAAATATCAGTGGAAATTCTCATTGTTTTGAGGATATATGTCTCTGTGACTTCTGGGAGGACATTGTGAACGCTGTCTCACTGACAATACAACCAAAATAAAATCTTACAGGAGCTTTACTGTGCAAGTGGATGTCCTCAAAAACTGTCACTGACACAGCAGCAGTCTGAACCAAGGGCTGTTTAATATGAGACTGACACTAAACTGAAATTGTGATCTATTTGCCATTTTTAAAAGTACGGGAAGAGGCACATTAGCCTGTGTTAGTTTTTGCATATTCCATCATGCTCTCCTGCGAAACACACGCAAATACGGGTCAGAATGAATCTTACTGCTGATCCTCCATGTATATGCATCTGTGCCTTACAATCATGTGTGATTGCACGCACAGTTATCTGTATGTCCCTCACAATGATCTGGAGGGCTTTTGGACCTCGCTTCCTTGCAATATTGCTTCAGTTCATCGCTTTTTGCACAGCTCTCTCCAAAGATCCCACCACAACATCTCGGTGTTGAGGTCTGGATTTTGACTCGGTGATTCCTAAGTGTTGATTCTTCTCTTTTTCAGCCATTCAGCCGTAGGTCTCCTCCTGTGCTGGTTCAATGTCCCCTTCTGTGACGCAGTTTCAGCTGTCAGACAGGTGGCCTCGCATTCGCCTCCAGAACACTTCGGTATAAAGCGAAGCTCGGGGTCGACTTTGGCTGCAGAACAAGTCCAGATCTTTACTGTTCCATGCGACGCTTCACGGTTGGTGTGAGGTGACTGCAGTGTCATGCTGTGTTTGGTTTTCGTTGTGTGTTATAGCCAGATCTCTACTTTTATCTTGTCTTGTCTCCAAAGATTTTTCCAGAAAACCTGTGGCTTGTTTAGACTCAACTTTGCCGACCCAAACTGTGCTGTCATGTTCTTTCTGGAGTAAAGGAGCTTCTTCCTGAATTTCCTTACATGAAAATCATACTTGGTAACTTTTTTCCTGATTGTTTAGTTATAAAGTTTGACATTTAATAATTTAACTGAGGCCGGTGAATCTCTGTAGTTATATGTTATTTGAGGCAAGACTAATTTTAGAGGCTGGTTAGGAACAGAAGATTGTTATTTGCTCTCTGTCTAATTCCATAGAAATGAAAGTGGGTGTACTTTCTTTTTCACATCTCTGTTTATAATATGGACAACTTTTAATGCCACTAAATATAGCCGTGAACACTGTAATCTTGTTACATCTTAATTCGCAAAGAAGGTGTCTATATATGATTGTGGTTTTAGGTTTCCAGATCCAAGCAGATTTTCAGAAAAAGAGTGAGGATTCAAGCCATTCAAATCAAGGGGATGTTCTGCTGTTTAATAACACTCAGCTGGTGCATGTCAATGAAACAGATCAAAGGGCAGGAGCGGCGAGATGAGCAGCGGGGCGGATGACCTTGCACTTTCAGAGGTGCGAGACGTCTTCGATCAAAATGTGACCTTGAGACTCACAGGAACACACCTTCTGGAGCCTGGTAGTCTGAGATAGACCTCAATCAGCAGAGGTAGTGCTGATCCCGCAGACCACATGCAGGTGGTCAGGGAGGAATCAAGAAATTCGAATAATGGCAAGGCCTTTGCAAACAAGTAGTGAATTGGTTGAGATGGAAACTGGCAAAACCTTGGCAAATCCTACCTGGCACTACTTTGTAAGGCACACACACATATATATATATATTTAAATATATGAGGGTGCAGCTGGGAGTCTGAACACAGAGTCAGCCATCCATCCATCACCACCTGGAGCATTTTGTTGGGTGGATGCTAAGGGCTTTGTGCAAAGGTCTAACAGAGATACAGTTACTCTACCAAGCATAGGATTCAAACCCATAACCTTCTGCTCATAAGCATAGACGCCTCTCCCACTGAGCCACACACCATCTGACTACTTCAGCAAGCTTCAGATAGTCCCTAACCCTCACCCTAACCCTAACCCTAACCCTCACCCTAACCCTAACCCTCACCCTCACCCTAACCCTCACCCTAACCCTAACCCGTACCAGAGCTCTCTCTCTGAATCTTACCTTGCAAAAGGCAATTTATTCTGGCACCAGAAGCACTTGAGTAAACTACAGATATTTATGCTTTCATCTGTTTGTCTGATGTGCCCACCTCCATTTGGCTTCTAAGAAGGCAGAGCTGCAGGTTAAAGGAGAAGCAGAAAACTGCATCCTAGCTGTTTGGCTTTGGGAGATTTTAATACAGGGTCACAAAAATACGCCGGCAAAAATCTTATCCTTTGACACAGTGAAAGTGGAGCTAAGCCAAATCGAGGTGATGTGAATCTTTGGGTCTCCCTTTCAGCCAAGTGTTTGACTCGGAAAATTGCCGAGACCCTGAGCTCTGCTTTGCAGTATCCACACCCCTCTGCTGGAGAGGCGGAAACGGGAAAGGGGTGCCGTCCTGGGGTGGCTCTTTGGTATGCGTTGTTTATCCTCCCCTGTCAGGGCTGTCTGAAGAATTCGGGATGCTAGGATATCAGTTGGCCAAGGTGCCCAAAGTGCATTTGTCATTCAGGAAAGGTGGGGATCGAAAAGGCAACGTTGCACAAAAGTTTTCTAAATGCCCGAGGAAATCTTCAGCCAGAGTTACCGTGAAATAATTGAAGTCCCGATGACTGATCTGAGATTTGACTGGAAGACCCTCACAGAAGGTTAATAACTCCTGCCACGGACAGTTGTCCTTGTCGAACCTTAAGGGAGTCACCGCATGCTTTGGCTGGCAACCAGGGGTGATTCTAGGATTTCTTTAAGGTGGCGTTGGTGGCATAAGAGGGGCCAAAATTCATACAGAGGGGCCAACCTTATTATTAGCCAATGATATCGTTTTAATCAATGATTGACATGGGAGGGAGCACTCTGGGGGCCAATCAGCTTAAGGCTGGGACCAGTGCCCCTATGATCCCGCCCTCCTATAGGGCCCTGCAGACCCGCTTACGAAGATCTAACCATGGCGTCACAGAAGCCCGACGATGCAGCCATTCCAGAACTCACCTCGGGTATAAACGTACCAGCATGTTGTCTGTTTAAGTCATCTTCATCGCGCAAACTTCTCTCGGTGGGAGACGGAGTCAAGCGTATCCCAGAATCCCCCTTGGGAGCTGTCATGTGCTCCTGGCTTCCTAATTCACCAGCGAATGGCAGAGGGCCCAACACTTTCAAAGCCATTATCTAGCAGGGATTACAAATTACACATATAAAGTTTGAATTTACAGTAAAGCGAATCATGCATGACTTGAAGAAGCAAAGGGGATATTGGACTTTTATATTAATTTTGAGATTTATAAAAGGCTCAAAAATCCAATAAAAGCATCCCATCCAAAATGGAGAAAAAAGCAAAATATGCTGCACTAAGGTCACTGTCCTCCCCTCCTGTAGTGTGAACATGGACCTCATTGTGCTGACATTTCATTTCTCAAAGAATAACACGAGAACATTACAGTGGCCAGCAGTGGGGCGAACTGGAACATTAAATTAGGGCAAATCCATCACTATCCCTCTGCATAAACTGAGGCTTACAGATTCTCGAAGGAGTGGATCAAGAAAAAAAAACGAATAAACTACTGTATATTATCGTTTATGTTGCTGAGCCAATTATTACGGCCATAACTGTGTTGGTAATGCATTTTCGGAGTTACCGGTATCATAAAGAATGGTATCGTGTACTTTTCCTGTAAAAGGACACTAGAAAGTAGGATCAGAGTAACTTTAATCTTTTGGCACTTGGTTCGCATGCATTTTATTTACTTTAGCTTATAAGTGCTAATCCCTTGGTAGAATACGACACCTCCAGCTGGGACCAGTAGATCTTGTCTGCTGGTTCCGAATACTTGCTTTTTAACCATTGATGTTCAGTGTTAAATTAAGGCTCCCGATTTTTACTGGTCTAAATTAATCACCAGTACACCTGGGTCCAGTTACTGGTACAGAACAGCTGATTTCCCTAAACCAACTCGACTGGATCGATCACGTTGATCTGAGTTTTTTCACGTAATATCTTGGTGCTGCATATCTCGAATTGTGATGGACTGAGCATACAGCGCAAAATATTTAACTAGGCTATGTTTAAAGTTGCTAATTTTTCGATAAACTCCTTAATAAGCATATGTGTCTTTCAGTGAGTCCAGCGCAAAGAGAAACCCGAGAATAAAATAGATTTGAGGGAAGCATATGTCTTACAGTCAACCTCGACATCAGAAGAAAAATCAATGTATACCATTATCGTCAAATAACATTAAAATGTATCATGTTAGCGAGCTCAGTAGTTTAGTTTACGGAGAAGCAGCAGGCTATAGGAAGAGGGAGACGTTTCTTGCCTCTAGGACACACATCGTCAGGGGGTTTCCTCTCCCAGTCCTCGCAGTTTACAGACAGGGGATTCCCGCTGACGTCACGCCAATGCAATTGCCATCTTTTCACAAATTTTGGTCATCAGTTCCTATTTTTGCAATCCCAAAATTCACCCTATATTAAATTATTGTTTTGCTTTGTATTTGTTTGACAAACTACTAAAATATACGTCTAATTAATGTCAGTTGCCTTTGAAAGGATATCTTAAATACATTTAATAGAAAAATTTTGGAAGTTTTGTCGTTACCGTTATTTCATACATACTACTTTTTATTATATAGAAGAAAATAACATAACAACTTCTGTTTGCATACAATACAAGCATTTTTTTTGTGTTTTATTTGGGGAGCTAGTCTCTTTGTTATGAGACCACTAGGTGGCGCTACACCACCGTGTGGTGGAAGCTCCTCTTTCCGCGTCCCCTGAGAACTATGGAGATGCCAGATGCAGAAAATCAGTGTGTTTCACACCGCGTCCCGATCCGGCCGCGGCGCGTCGAACCGGGCAGCATCCTTACCCAGAAACGCATCCCTCAGAAGCGCGAAAGAAGGGAAAGAAAGAAAGGAGCAAAGGAAAAAAAATAAATGGAATACAAGCTGGGCTGCTGCTGGTGAATATGTAGCTAAGCATCCATTTAAAGTTTTTAATCCTGTTTTTCTTTTTTTTTTTTTGCTGAGATGAAACACTGAGAAGGACGCGGAACTTCCCGGACCCAGGCATCACAGCACTTCACCTGTGCGTCCGGAGAGGGAGTTCGCTCCGGCGGGGAAAAAAGGCACCTTCATTATTACTGAATCGGGGCTTTATTATTGGTGATACTTAAATTTCAAGCCAAGCGCGCAGGTGATGTGTCCCGTGGGAGCCTTTCCACTCGAGGGAAAGGGCACTTCTTGTCGCTTTATGTTTGACAATGGAGCGCAAATGAAAAGAGCATCTGCTTTGGATTAAACTGAAAAAGCCGCACCAACAGGTATGTATGGGGAAACGTATACATGGTTACTGTATGCTAAGCGTTCTCTTTAATGTTACACACACACATACACACACACACACACACACACGTTATATATATATATATTAATGATTGCGTCTAAGAATAATACGATAATACGCTACGATAATAGTGGCTGAATGGCAAGGATGGATATTTGCTGTCTTTCTCGATATGCTTATATCTTGTGGTATGCATTGGTGTGCTTGTGCTTGGAAGGTGTGTGTGTGTGTGTCTATGTAGAACTGTAAAACTGCCGTTGATATTATATTCTGCTACTTTGTGTAACCTACTTTAATTTTGGAAATAGTATATTTATCATTATTGTTGTTGTTATTATCATACTTATAATTAGACAAATAATAATTATTTTTATTATTATAATTATTATTGCATCATACATGAATGTCAAGCAAACTTGTTTTCTTTCTTTATAATTTCTTTGGTGCTGGGTGGGACAAACAACGCGCGTGTGGTCCGATTGCTGCTTTACAGTTTCTAAGCTGCAATTGCTTCTTCATTGCTCCATGATGTCCCTAGAGCAGCTGCATGAATTAATATCAGGAGCACCTTTGTCAGTCTGAAAAGCCATCTCCAGAAAATGCGCTTCTGCGATCCGCCTTTAGCGCCACCTCTGCGCATAAAGTCAGTTGTATTAAGCGCGCGAATGAGCTCCCGCGGAGCGGCGCGCGGAAAGACGCAGTGGAAAAGCTGACACTTAAAAGGCAACTTTCTTTGGGAGAGTATCCAGCGCGGCACGCAGATTTTTAAGTTTGGCTGTCACAAATCCCCTTTACAAAATGGAATTTATAAAACTGCAACTGTTAACACCCCCCCCCCAAAAAAAAACAGCTGGAATTTAAAAAAGATGAACACATGAGCTTAATATTATAATATTACAATCTCATTTCAGCTTTGTGAAATACTTGGAAATTCATCTCCACTGCTGAGGACAATCGTTATAGTTCGCTACGTGGGAAAATGTAGCTACATTCTAATCTTACGCATTAGCTTATAAGGCCGTTACATAGGTACATCTATCAATAAATATATCCGATGTTAGAATAGTGGTACATTTGCTTGTAATTTTTATCGCCTGTTATATGGATGAACAGCGCTTCAGGATGGTGTTTAGAGACGAATCGTCTCCATCCCACGTTGGAGCGGCGATTGACGCGCGTTGACTGCATAAGGAACTCAAGGCGAGGATTATTTATCTATCTATCTATCTATCTATCTATCTATCTATCTATCTACCTATCTATCTATCTATCTATCTATCTATCTATCTATATTTATTTATTTAATGGGGGGGGGATCTCTCTTTTTGGGAAACAGGTTGCCCCGTTGGCTGCTGTCTTTTTACTTTGTCCTCCTCTGATCCTGGAAATCGAGGTTATGACACACTATCCCACTGCACAGCACATGCAGAGATGGACTGAGTTTTACAGAATCTTTAAATCTAATGAACGTTCTACAGCTGGTGGATATTTTTGGTTGCGATTCAGCCCTACATTACTAACATATCTACATTTTCATTTATAAAAACGTCCTCATTATCTAACATGCATTAAATTCCTGTACAACATTACTGATCTGGCACTAAAAACAAGTATTGTTAATGACACGCGCCATTTGTTATCCGCATAAACAACAAACAAATATAACGTTGATTAAAGGTTTAAAAGGAGGACAACGTGACGTGAGATACCCGAAACGATCTGTGAGTCAAACCGAATCGCATAAAACAGCACTTGCCACTGTTTTCATTGCCATCGTCTTGAGTCATCGTCATATCATCTTCTAAGAATGGCAGGAGCTTGCGCGTGTCTGTGTTTGTTAACCTTTTAGGTATCTGGTGGTCTTTTAGATATTTGGTGGTGGAGTGGATCGTGGCGGGGAAGCTTTCCATGTGACAGATGCGCCACATGAGGCCAGAAAGGGCCGGTTACATGTGTGGCGGACGTATAAAAATAAGGCAAGCTCTGACGTTTCTCAGCCACTTTAGCGTGACATCTTTACTGACATCTTTTAAACATCCCACAGATCTTGATGGAAACAGAATCATCTAGACAGCTGTTGGCCTTTAAATAGCTACGCTAACAGGGCTGGGGTTTAAAACTCGGCTGCTCCGGATTGTTATTCCGTTACGTATTGATAAATTAGACAGCTAAGAAAAGGTTACTCCTCCAATAAATGCAACTAATGTATAAATAACAGGGGGAGAAAAACCGCACCATTAGACAGATGTTTTGAAGGAATTTGGGTCCGTATAGACTGGATGAACTTATCAGCGAAACGAGGCTGCGATTTCAGCGGCACTGAGCTGTGCGGTGCCCCGCCGTGAAGACCGCGATTTAATTTCTTTTCGGCAAATGACTTGAAGTGCTCCGGCATGGCAGGCCTCTAATGAGAGCGGCTGTGGGGCGAGCAAGCGGGGAGGGCAGCGGTAATTTTGTTTGGGAACGTGAATTATAGGTCACGTTTAAGAGGGCTCCGTGAGGGTCTTCCCTGCTGCTCCTCACTGCTCCTCATCCCCCCCACCTCTCAATCTATCATTTATTTGAAGGACACGCTTTCTAAGGAAAA